CTGGGCATGGTAGCACGCACCTGTAGTTCTGGCTACTTGGAAGGCTGAGGCAGAAGGATCACCTGAGCCCAGCAGGTCGATGCTGGGGTTGCTGTGAGTGTGCTACTGCACTCCAGCCTGGGTGATGGAGTGAGACTCCAACTCAAAAAGCAAAAAATACTAGTACTCAAAATAATAAAAATAGTAAAGCCTCCATTGCAAATATAGAACGAATTTATATGTGTAGTCAGAAATGTAATTGATTTGCACAAACAGCCCTCTATAACAGCACCCCAAAAAAGTACAATAATGGGTGTAAAATATTGGGAGTAAAATATTGGGAGTAAAATAATATATAAAAATTGAATTTTACTGGACCAGAGAGCCACTATGTTTATAGTCCAATGTACTGTACATGAAACCATAAAACTCAAAACCTTTTAAACAAATCTCAGTGACACGTGAAGACACCAATCTCTTGTCCAGACAAGTGCAATATAATTTTTTCCAATGTTACACAGAGAAATTCTGTCTCTAATACTGAAGAATCCCCAAATCAGAGGTATGATCAAAAGTTAAAATTTTAAAAATTCATGACAAACCTGTTTTAGTTATGGAAAATGGTTAGCCAGACTCTCTTCAACTATTGCTTCCACTCTTCTTGCTCTCTTTCTGGGACTCCAACTGAATTTACTTTAAAGCTTTTTACCCTATCCTTTTTGTTTTTTACCCCATCTTCCCAATTTTTTTTCACTCAATTGTTCATGGTAGAATTTTTTTTCTAAAGTATCTTCCAGTTTGACTTGAGATATAAGAAAAGTCAAAAAACAAGTTAAATCCAATATCTTTTTTGACTAAACAAATTATCACTTATTTCTTTGGCAAGTTGTGATCAAAAGCCTTTGATTAAATATGATATTTATGTCTTTTGAATGCTGTCATTTATCTAGTTTCATATATTATAAAATCCATGACTTAAAAAAAAAATTAAAAATTCATATGCTGGCGAGGTGCGGTGGTTCATGCCTATAATCCCAGCCAAAGCGGGAGAACTGCTTGAACCCAAGAATTCAAGGCCAGCCTAGGTAACATAGTGAGACGTCATCTCTTTCTTTTATAATAAAAAATTATAATTATAAAAAAATCGCATGTGCCAAAAAAGGAACTAATTGCACTACTGCTGAGAAGCTTGTAAAGCTAATTTTAACATACATTACAATAGTTTACTCAGAAGAAAAGTAGCACAAGCTAAAATTCTTTTACTAGACAATACTGCTTGATGTCATATGATTTACCAATGGCATTTATGATAGGAGAGCAACTATCACACATGCGCAGGTATTTTCCTTTATGATAGAGAAAACTCTTAAGTACATAGTATGAACCAACTCTTCAAACATGCAGGATACCTATAAGAGTTCAATAATTTTTTAATATGTTAACCTCTAAAACTCCTGCAACAGAAGAAATTTTTTTTTAATTTAGTGAATGATTTTGCCAGGCATAATGTAGCTGCAAAGGACATTTTGGCTTCACTGAAGAGTGCAGTAGCTACAAGTGCTACCTGAATGAAAATCTGCTCTGAATACCCATGTATGTATCTGTTTTCCTGTTCTTAAACCAGTGCTTAACTATATAGTAAAAATTTATCAAATTATAGCTATCAAACAGATCTTCTTAATGTACCAAGATTAAGAAATGAATTGTAAACACACTTATGAATCACAGTTGTCAATGTAAAAGTGGAACACATTTGTTTGTAAAATGAGAGTTACAAAAAAAATCTCTTCATGACATTGATAATGGTAGTAAACACCACTTCAGTATCTTCTGTACCTTGACTCTATTACTTGGTAAATTACAGAGGTGGCTCAAGCCTAAATTCCCAGCACTTTGGGAGGCCAAGGTCAGAGAATTGCCTGAGCCCGCGGGTTCGAGACCAGCCTGGGCAACATGGTGAGACCTCATCTCTACAATAAATCAACAAATTAGCTGGGCATGGTAGCGCACACCTGTAGTTCAGGTTACTTGGAAGGCTGAGGCAGAAGGATCGCCTGAGTCCAGCAGGTCAAGGCTGCAGTGGCCAGGAATGTGCCACTGCACTCCAGCCTGGAAACAGAGTAAGACTTCAACTCAAAAAAAAAAAAAAACCAATGTCAATAATTGGTTTGATCAAAGAACAAGTATCTCCCCAATACTTAATGGTTTTCCTTATTCACTGGAGGTGAGAGAAAAAAAAAGTATTACTAAGCACATCTAAAAACCATATGCAAATACTGCAGCTAGATAAAGTAATACTTGACAAAGTCAAAAGCATTCAAAAAGAGAAATCTCTCAAAACGAAACAATTTGCACCCCAACTTTTAAGCATCTGAAAGAGCACTGAAAGTAATCAAAGCTTCTTTCCTATTTTTATAATTTTAAAAACTACTTTATGATTTTTTGGAGACAGCTGAAATATAAGGCAAGCAATCAACTATGTCAGTAAAAAAATTGGTTAACAACTACAGAAACAACCTGGTTCACCACAGCAGAGAACAAGACATGGCTGTTTTGTTTGCTAATTTCAGCACCGTCAAAACCTAGATTACAGAATAACCACATACTACAGATTACAGTGGCCTGAAGGATACAGACAGGATCATATTCCTGCTTAGCTTCTATCAAGACAATTAGTAAAAGCCTACAAAGCCAGGTACAGTTATCTGTGCAAGAACTATGTTGTGTTTATTTTATAACAAAAAGTTAAAGTAACTTATGAATAGCTCAAAGTTATTGCCCACCTGGGGTTTTCATTAATCACAGTAAGATTTCTTCTTTGCAATTCTCTCTTCTTAAATCTAACAAACAAAAAGTTAAATTTGTTTTCAAAAACATTTTCCAATTTGCTCTTATTAGAAAATGTATGGGCCTCTTACTGACCCAAAGGGAACTTAGAAGCAATCAAGATAAATCCCCTGCCTCATGTCACAATGAAATGTAAGCAATCCCAGAGAAGACAATTTTTAAGTTTCCCCCACATATTCCCGTACTTATCTTAAAAACACAAATGCTACACATCCATTAACACAAACAGTTCCGCTACAAAATCCAAGATAAAATAATTGCAGTAAACAAATTTCATATAAGAAAACTTAGTAACTCTACTTAAGCTCCTAAACTAAATAGTTTAAAAGATAATAGATCATAAGCAAGTATTAACAAATCATATTTCAAAAAATGTTTGAGCACTTCAATAAAGGTGCTTTAAGCCCTCGATTAGCAAAGAAATGTTCACAAAAACTGAAGGGATTCTTCACAGTAATGAAAACTTTTCATATCAACAGAAATCAATTTTTTTTTAATGAAGTATAGGACTACTGGCATTACTAAAGGGGTGAATTTTGTAAGTAAAAAGGTCTAACAAGATGATACATGTGCCAATTACAGACCCAATTTAATATCCTTGAAGGTAACTGTAGTTCCAGCAACAAGTACATAAGTATTAAGTGTTTTTCCTAAATTTGGACTAAACTGAGAAACAGTAAGCATACAACCAAACACTCAAAAGGGCTTCACAATAAAGATAATAAGAACTACTATACTGACACAAGCACCAAAGTAAAAAACTTGAACAATGCATACATAAAACAAAATTGTAAAAGGTTTAAAACATTTAGAATACAACAAAAACAATGTAAACCTAAGCAATAACACAACAAAATGTAAATAATTCAGAGATACACCGTTAGCAAGCAATTCAAAAGACCTCAGTATTAAGTAAGAAGTTGTTAAAATGAAAAGACTCCTGGTAGCCATTGTTGAAGTCTTCAGGCAGAATAATCTGACAAACTTGAAGGTGAACAGCACACCAGATTTTAAGTGTTAATATATTAAATTTAAACTATTAGGGAGGAAATATTAAAAGGCAATGAATAATATGCTGGAAAAAACTGTAATGCAGGAAGTCTAGAGTCACTGAAAAACAAACCAATATCATATAAAACTGTTAACTACTTACTCTAGGGAACTGAGGGTGGGGGAAGACCCTACTGCTCCACCTGAGACTGACCTTTACCTAACTTAAGCTTATAGATTGGCTAATTGTCACAAAGTTTATAGTGGCATTTGCTTTATAAAAGAAAAACTATATGTGCTTTACATATTAACATAATGCCTTACAGAATAGTTTAGACTTACAGGAAATTACTACCTTCAATCTTTAAAATATTCAACTATAGATCCTGTTCTGTCCAACAGAAATATAATGTAAGCCACATATATAACTTTAATTTCTCAAGCAGCCATTTTCGAAAAAAGTAAAATGACAGAAAGGTAAAATTAATTTTAATAATTTATTTAACCAAAAACATACAAAGTATCACTTTAACACATAATCAAAAGTTTTAAAAAATTATAAAATATTTCATTACCTTTTTTCATACTGAGTCTTCAAAATCTAACGTGCATTCACAGCACATCTCATTTAGCAGCAGAATCATCTCAAGTAATCAACAGTTATATGTGGCTACTAGTTACTGTACTGGACAGCAGAGGTCTAGAGTTTTTACTCTGGTTTTTAGATACATGTACAAAATACCAAAACAACTGAAATGAGAGCTAACAATGTATTAAATTTGAAGAGCTGGGAGAGACACTGAGAAAGGTCCATTCAGTCTTGACTCTACCGTGACTAGGGTGACAATTTGTCCCAATGAGCCAGGCAATCCTATGTGCTAGGGAAAATCCCAATCTACAACTGTTGTCATGAGTAATTATTAACACCACCCCCTGTAATTCTCAAGTGTCCCATGTTGGAGGATAAATTATATGGTCACCCTACCTACATTCACAATATCCTCAAAGGTAACTCCACACTCCTCGGAATAACTTCTAATTCTGATGCCTGCAAAAGAAGCTCTAAATTCAAAGGAATGAACCCTAAATTCACTACCCTCAACATTAAAAAAAAAAAAGCTGCTGAAAATTCTTTTTATTTTAAATTGCAGACTAAAAAAAAAAAAAAAAAAAGTAAGAATTACCTGTTGAACAAGGCATCTGGAAATTGGGATCATTGCTATCCAAAACAGGCAAACAGAACTGGTTACTTGCAGATCCTAGCATAGGATCCTTATCGCTGAGCATGTTCTTCAGCGAGTCCTCTAAGACATTTTGACTTGCACTAAAATCCTCACAGACTTCATTCTCCAGGTTGGATCCTAGAAATAGGGCATCATCTAAGTGTTCAGTAGGAATTAAATGATTAAATGTATCAACTATATCCATGAAGACTTCTGTGTGTCTTTCAGCCCTATAGAAAGACAAAAAAAATACCATAAGAAATAAAGCTATCAACTGAAAATCACCTAATACCAAATTATTTTAATAGTTTTGAGTCTAAAACACACTTAAGGTATTTCTGAATTATTGGTTTTTAAAAAATCCTCACTGCTTTTAGAATATACATTTGGAAATGTAGAACGAACCTTTACTCAATAATGTTTCTTCATCATACATGTAGAATATCATTTTACCAGAAATCCTATTAAAGTATTCAATTCATTATTTTAGAAAAAAATATGTATATAGTCCATAATTTGACACATGTGAAAGAATTACATGGCTAAACCATAAAAACAATTTTTTAAACCATAACTTTTCATTAAGAATCAGACACTGCTTTTACAATAAGCCAACATAAAAGAGCTAAAATCAAATTGCTTAAATTATTATCCCGTACCTATTAAAACTGTAAAGCAGCCTTGTTTTATGTACAAAGCATTTAAAGTATTTAAAGAAAGGTAACAGATACAGACAAAAAGATTTTGGGGGGGGTAGGAAAGGAAAATGAAACTATTAACTAAACCCAACAAATCAAAACTCAAAAACCTACACACGCACACAAAGATGTGCACTTCCACACATTTTTTTAGGTGTCCCCCTTCTGGAAAAAACAAGATACAAAACAAAACACTCTACAATAGGTATTTACATTTATCTTAGTGAGTTATGTGTGGTCTACACAGATATCAAGTGAGTCTGCCCTCTGAACTGTTCCTACATACTAGGTATTGCTCAGCAAAGTTATCTCAAGCTCTAAAGCAGCTTCATATCGAGCTGAATTTTTTTTTTTTTTTAAAGATGAGGTCTCACTATGTTGGTCAGGCTGGTCTCAAACTCCTGGGTTCAAGCAATCCTCCCACCTCAGCCTCTCAAAGTGCTAGGATTACAGGGGTGAGCCAACACATACAGTCTGAATTATTTTCAATACTGGTTTTAGAGAAAACTGAAGCAATATATTTCAGGGGGGGGGATGTCAGTCAAAAAATATTAATATTCAGTTAGCCAGAAAATTCCACTGACTAATTCAGAACATCCTGGGCTCCACAATTCCCAAGTTTTTTAGATTAGCTTCAAATCTACCAAAATTTTCTCAAACTGGTCTTGATTTCTTCCCTCTATAAAAAAGAGGGAAGATGAAGTCCAGAGGACATTCACTGGTTATGTATTATACGTCATTATCACACTAAACATTTTACCTAAATCTATATAGTTTAATCCCCAATAATAAATAGAACCTACTATTATCCTTTGTTTTAAGATTGCACTTCAATAATTTAAACTTCTTCCTCAAAGTCACAAAACAAAGCCAGGTTTCAGGCTGCACAGCCCACACCCACAAGTGTTACCCTTCAGCACTGGCCTAAGGGACTGGGAAGATATGACTTACTGGGGCTGCACGTGAGGGAAGGTTCGACTACAGAGGGACTGGGGATACTTCAAGTGACAATGTGGAATATCCTAAGCCTTGACTGTGATAGTGGTTTCTCAAATCTGTTCCTTTTGAATGGGTGCGGTTTATTATACCCCAACTTAAGAAAAAAAAAAAGCAAAGTTCTTCATTCTCTCAAAAGTTAATCTCCTTCTAAATAGAAGAGTTTCAGTATCCTCACATTTTGCTATTTATTTGCACTGAAATGTTAATAAAGCAATGAAAAAGATGTTAACTATTTTGCTGAACTGCGGCTTATTTTGCATGCATTCTCTAATTTGAAAGTGTAGCTAGTAAATGCTAAAGGAAACTCAGGAAAAGTTCCTTACGAATTTCTTACCACTATACCACTACTGATCTCAGTATCTACAAAAGGCTTAATTATTATACATCATCCATACTTCCACTAATATGTTTTAAAGTTCCAAAGACATTTTAGTATACAAAATCCTGGTAATCAAAAATAATTTATTAAAAAATTGACTAAATGTTTACAAAATTAAGTGGATTAGAACTACCAATGAATTTATCTGCCTGTGCCAAAATCTAAAATTTATCACAGGTCAAAACTACCTCCTCTTCAGAGAGCTACATCCCAATTAGTAACACTTTTTTCTTAGAACAATCAAAAAGAAAAAGGCAGTTTCAGTTCCATAAACAAATGGCTAACTTTCCTTCAAAAAATGGTATGCGGAATCTACTGGGGGGTGGGGGAGGAGAAGCACTCGTTGCCATAGCAACACAAGGGGTAGACAATCCTGCAAACTCTATCTGAAGTCTTTCTGTTGCACAAACTATATGTTGTGTGCTTTCAAGTGGTAGGAACTGTCAAAGCATTCAGAAGTTATGGTCATATGGCTGTAAGAAGACCAGTTTATTCTAACTAGTCATCTAAATCAGCAATTTTTTTCAATACTGCTACCAGTGAAACCTTCCCAATATCCCTTTATTTAAAGGGACTTCAAAGCCTATAGTATATTTTATAAATCAGTTTTGTTGTTGTTGTTTTTACGTAAAGAATATTGTGAATAAGATACTTTGGTCAAACTTTCCAGTATATTTTTTTAGTCAAAACAAATATGTCTTATAAAGTGTCTTTCCTTGGATTTAAATAGGCATGATCAGGAAAAAGGCTTCCACGGTCACTCATAGAGAAAGACTGGATATAGAAGTTAAATTTAACAATACCTTTCATTTATTCAACAAATGTTTACTAAGAAGTTACCTTTAAGTGAGACGTGTTCAGTAAGCTAATGAGAACGGAAATCTTCTCAGACAGATAGACTATAAAGCATTCCAAAGTTACAAGTCCAGAGGATACAACTTCCACAGGACAAACCACAATATTAGTGTTTTGTGAAATACACTTTAAGGACAATTGTTGTAAATTAAGGAGTGATTTTTCTTATATGGGTCCAAAGAGTGCTGGAGGTAATTCTAAAGGAAAAATGCCAAAATTTGAAAGGAGATAGTCATCCATATTGAATCCATTTTAAAACTTGGTTTCAGATATTAAAGAGGTCAGTATCAAAAATAAAATTCTATCCATGCTAAATAGAAAAACAAATATTAATCAATTGTAGAAATAAATATTTATTCACTTAATATGGACACACTAATCAACTAGATGTAATGTGGAATCCTGGACCGGATCATGGAAAGAAAAAGAGCAGGAGAAAAAAAATAGAATCAAAATTTAAAAGTCTGTAACTTAGTTAACAAAAATGCATTAATAGGCCATTGCTTTACTAAACTCTGGTGTGGCCATGTGCTCTTTAAGTTATGGCTGCCACCATGTTTTCTAATCTTTGGTTCCCTCTCCTACATTGGAGAGGTGAGTCTCCTCTCTCTTCTCTCTCTCTAATTTATTTCCTAAATAAACTATATTTTCTAATCTAAAAAAAATGCACCAATAGTAATGTCTCAGTTCTGACAAAGGCACTAGTATTATGTTAAATGTTAATAATCAGGAAAATTAGATAAGGACATGCTGAAACTCTATACATCCTTTGCAATTTTTGTATAAACCTAAAACCATTAAAAAAATTAAATTGTTAAAAAATAGTCTTTAAAAAGAAAAAACAACACTAATCTGGCCAGACATAGTGGCTCACACCTATAATCTCAGAACTTTGGGAAGCTGAGGTGGAAGGACAGCTTAAGCCCAAGAATTCCAGACCAGCGTGGGCAACATAGCAAAACCTCATCTCTTCCAAGAATCAAGAAAATTAGCCAGGCCTGGTGGTGCTCACCTGTAGCCCCAGTTACTCAGGAGGCTGAGGCAGTAGGATCACCTGAGGCCAGAAGGCCAAGGCTGTGTGTGGTCAGCTGTGATCGTGCCACTAAACTCCAGCCAGGGCAACAGAATGAGAATCTTACTCAAAAAAAAAAAGAACACTAAGATAGAACTATCTGGGATACCTAGTAAAGTGGGTAGACAAAGATAATCAGATCTAATTAAGGGGAAAAACTAAGAGCCAATTTAGTACCTTTGTTAATTATACAAACTATTTGATTTCACACAAATTTCTGTTTCTTACAGTCAAATTTTACATAAACGTTTCTTTATATTTGACATTATAAATTTAACAATTAAAACATAACAAGGGACTGGGCGTGGTGACACATGCCTATAGTTCCAGCTACTTGGAAGGCTGAGGTGGAAGGATAGCTTGAGCAGAGAAGGTCAAGGCTGCAGTAGCCTTCAGCGTGCGGCACTGCATTCCAGCCTGGGCGACAGTAAGACTAACTCAAAAAAAAAAAAATAGCAAACCTATCTAGGGTGCATTTTAAATAGCTAATGCTATGTGTATGTCCAATTAAATCAGTATTAGTAATTTAGGAATACACATACAAAAGTTATAAACTGTTTCTGGGTTCAGAGTCATACCTTATGTTTACAGACGACAAAACATATATGGCTAAGTGAGAGGTATAGATAATCTGCATAATTTAAAATTATTCATTTATTCATATATGTATTAAGCATCTATTACAAAGCATTACAAGTGCCAGCAACACAAACCCCAGTCCCAAGTCAAGGAATTCACAATCTAAAACAGAATATAAATATATAAACAAAAGCAACATAAAACATCACAACAAAATATTAAATGCCATACTGAAGGGCTGCAGAAAGTATCACAGAACAGGATGAAACTCGGAAGCCCAAGAAAGACCAAGCAGGTGATGTGTGAGCTACATCCTAAGAGTCCAGAGGGCATTCCAGGTATAAGGAACAGCAATACGCTAAACTATGATGGCTCAGTCTGGTATTAATGGGCCACTTATAAAAACCCAGAACAGTTCAAAGTAGTTAGTACTAACATTCCAAATAAAATTTAATCTGAGTCCAAAGATACTTCCTACTTTAAAATAGTTGTAGTCGGTTTTGGTGGCTCACGCCTATGATACCAGCACTATGGAAGGTGGAGGCGAGAGGACTGCATGAGTTCACAGGTTGAAGATTCAGCCTGGGGAACAGAGAGACTTCATCTATTCAACAAATTAAAAAATTAGCCAGGCATGGTGGTGAGGAG